ATTCCCTCCATTTTAGAATATCGATAAATATAGCTTTAGAGACATGGTTTTTCTAGCCCAACTCGGATACTATTAAAGCTATACACACCAAATTTGGTGTTTAGCTTTTCGTAGAGCTTCCACAGATTAGGCATATTTCAATTTTTTGATAAATACACACATTTTTCCGCAGATTGCGTTCTGTTAAGCCCTCTCCATAGTTAAGCCCTGAAAGGATCGGACTATGAGCACCGAGTTAAGCGAGAACTGCAAAGTCATAAAAAGGCTGGTTTAAAATTTGTGGGGGGGACTAACGCACTCTTACTGCTTGATGCATGATATTTATTGCTAAAGCATAAATCACGAGATTGGCATTGGCTTAAATCTGATTCCCAATCAAAGCTCCCTCGCAATAATCACAAATTACGTTGCTCGCGTGCGAAGAAAGCAAAAAAGAGAGCTCTTTACAGTTGGCGGCGAGTGTTGCCAAAGGCTAACGGTTAGGCTAATCAACACATAATCGCATTATTAGCTAGCCCAGGCACAATGTCAGACCGAGGGTCAGCAGCAGCAGTAGCGACCCACCTGAGCCATCTGCTTACATCATTTGGCTCGCCGTTCAACCTCATCCCAGCTCTGTGGAGAGCAGCGTCTGTCGCGACTAACAAAAGTGACAAACTGACCGATCAAAGGTGTCGATTATCTAACACGCAACAACAACAATTGGTCCAGCTCATGGGCTAAAAGGTTTTCGAGTGTGGCCCATAGAAATGCTTATATATATATCTACACACACCTGAAAGGTGTCTGTCGAATTGGTTCAACTACAAATTGTTTACTTTCCAACTGTGTTGGAAAGAGGGTCGTCTGCGGCTGATGAAACCAAAAGTAAAGCGGCAAGTTATTTGAGCGAGTGATATATATCTAAATCTGTGTCTAGATGTATTTATAGATATGCTCAGGGCTATGATATCTGTATATCTCCATATCTATCTGCATATCTATAACTATATAACTATATATATATATTTTATATCTACACAGCTGTATGTATATATATGTATCTATATTTGGGATTTCTTGGGTTCATCTGATGGCACTTGAACCGGATCCGATGCTACGCTTCAGATCGAGGGGTTTGTTTAAATGCCGAAAAACTGTGCTTAGTTGGGCACTCATAAAAGCACACAGAAAGAACCGTTGACCCACAAAGATACAAGATACATTTACAGATACATTTACGTGCGGCTGCAAACGTGAACACATGAGATACTCTCGAACGAGAAGAAGCAGCTGATGATTGTATGATTGTAACTGTAATTTGATTTCAATAATTTAATTACATTTCGTGCGTCTTCCATTGTCGGACGCGGTCTCTTTTTTGTTCTCCGCCTCTGTTAAATGGGTTTAATTTCTTTTGGCTGTCATGTATCTGCGGCTCTCAAATTGTATCTGACAGCTGGCTGCGTCTCAGGCTCGGACTCAGGCTGTGTCTGCTTCTGCTGCAGCTGTTTTGTTTCTGGGTCTGGAGCTCACTTTGAGCGTAGATTTCAGTGTGTGTGTGGTGCGCATTAATTTCGAATTTTAATTAACTCGAGCAAAACGCAAATAAAAATTAAAAAAAAAAGCAAAACAAATGCCAAAAAGAAAGTTGCTGCTGTTTAGAGGAGAACCCCCTTTTGGCCCCTGTGCTAAAAATAATGAATTTTAAACCCGACTCACCAGAAATTTTATTCGAAATTAAAGTTTAAAGTTTTTCTCGGTATTGTTCGTAATGTTTTTTACGTTTTTGAGCAGTTTGTTTTGCTCGCTTTTCCACTCGATTCGAATTCGCATACGCGGCCAACTGGAGCACAGCCGACGCCAGTCTATGCCCCGCCCCGCCCCGCCCCACCTTGGCACGCCACGATCCCTGAGGGGCGCCGCTGGGTCGCAAAAAAAAAAAAAAAACAAGTCATGTGACCCAGTTGCGTGCCCGGTTCTTTAGCGTCCACGTTCTAAATATGTGCACAGAACTCGATGCATAAACCAGCCCCAGTTTCAGTTCCAGTTCCAGCTCCAGTTCGTGGCGCATCCAGCGGGCAGCTGCATCTTGAATTTGTGCAGACCGTTTCTTGATCTGCAACCATTTGGCTTATTTATTGACTGTCAGCTCGTGCTCTGAATTTAGCACAGCAATAAGACCCACGGGCACTGTCAGCCGCAATCGTTAGAATTCACAGATGATATTGAAGAATTGCCATCAATTTGTCAGCCGTCCGCCAACCAGTTACCAGCTTGTCCGGCTCTCTTCTGGGTGGTAGCTTGACCATGTAGCACCATGGAGGATCATCCAATTGCCATGTTTAGCATCATCTGCGTAGCCACCATGCTCACTTGGCTTATAAGTTGATGCTCCCTGGTCTTCGATTGTTTTTTGCACACCTTACTCTCAAGATTCCACTCTAGGGGGTCCTCCATGTTCACTTAAAGCAAGCACTTCAATTGCTTAACTTACTTTGTAGCCATAAATATTCATGACATGTCCATGCTGTTTGCATGTTCTTCATGCTCATTTGTGGTACTCGGTAAATACTTTAACTAATCGCCTTTCCTTTCATTACCTTGTTGTATCTTCTCACGTGTCCTTCCAGCTGCTGCGCATGGTAGCTCATTTTAAATGTCCTCCATCTGTCGGCAGATCCTCCGTGGTCAACAGTTAATTTGATCTCTTCACTTGATAAAGCTTGCCGCCTATCTTTGAGAACGTATCACTATATCATAGTTAAATACTTGTATATAAGGACTCTTTCATCTAATTTATCACCATTATCTATTTATATCGCGCTGGAATCGATCTGTACCTTCCGATCTCTGCCAAGCTAATGAATGAGCGAAGCAGGTATAGCTGCAAGTATGTAACTTATATGGTGACAACAAGGATATGACATGTATAAACATAGTGATCTTTATAATAAAGGGGAAGAAGGCGTTTAAGTGATTCGTATTAAGCATTATATATGTATGAGAGTGCTTGTGTGTGTGTGTGTGGGGGGGCAGGTGTGTGTGAATACATGTACGTGTGCGTATGTATTTAAGTAGACCCTGTAGTTTTTCATGCTTAGCTAGTAGTGTAGTGTTTTTTTTTGTTTTTGTTATTTTTGTTTTTTTCTTTGTGTGTGTGTGTGTGTGTGTGTATGTATGTGTGTAGGGATCCGGACATATATTCATACATGTACGCATGCAGGGATGCATGCATGCATGGTTGCATATATACAAAACAAACATGCACACATGTAAGTACAAACAGGCATGCATATGTATGTATATGTGGAAACTGAAAACACGCCTTAAGGGAGTTGAACAAAGCTGAACGGATGGTAAATGATCGGATGTAAATGATTATAATAAATAATACAATATTGTATATATGACTAGTCCTTGTTGAATAACTATAGTTCGATTCTACTTCACTTGTGTGTGCCTTCTTTATATCGCATGTTCTCCATGGTTACATGCTACAACATATGTTGTTTGGCTAGTGATGCTATTTAATCAACAGCTATCATCTATATATACACTTTCTGCTTATTTGCCTGTTCATCATCTTTACGTGGCCTCCATGGTCACATTAAGCTGTGCTCGATGTTCCCATGATTTGTATGATCATCTCCATGTTCACATTATACTCAAGCAAGAAGCGTCATCTTCTCTTATGCACTTTACTTTCTTTCTTCATGGTCACTTTGTGTACATTTCATAATTTGTCATCTTCAGCTGTAGTCGGACATGCCTGGTAGTGCCTTGTTGGCCTTTATTGCATATTAATGCGTTGATTGAAATTTAAATTGAAATCGAAATGAAAAATTAATAAAAGAGTAGGCCAATTAGAAGTGCGATATTTCGTACAAGGCAACATGACTGATTGGTGAAAGATTTCCGCTTTCATAAACAACAGCAACAACAACTTTTACTCAACTTCGTTTTTGTTGTAGTTGTTGTTGTTTAATGCACTTGAGCGTGTGCAAAATGCAACAAATTTTTATTTAACAGTGAGTGTTTTTTTTTTTTTAGTTTCAACAAGCTGGTTGAGGGGAGGGGAGAGGGGGCGTGTGTGGGGTGTGTGAGCTGTATTTTGAGTGGGTGGAATGGAAAGGAAAGCAACGCGCGCCGAATTGCATTTGGCAATAAAAGTGAAATATATATTGGCAAGCACTTTCGTTGCCGAAAAGATAACCCAGCCAGCCCCCCAAATCCAATAGTACAGTGAAAGCTCCACGAATGGACAACGCCTTCAGCCAGCTAAATTTGTTATTTACAATCATCGATCCAATTATATCAAATATACTCCAGATAATCCCTCTATCTGTTTCTATGTAATGTGGTCTCTCATTTTGAAGAAACTTTGCCCAACTCTAACTCGGTCGGAAGTCGAGTTTTTTAACAAACTCTTCTTATCTTCGAGTAGAGCATAAAAACACATATCTCAAAATCGATATTTATCGACAAAGCATAAACGCGCATGTCTCAAAATCGATATTTATCGATATATCACAAAAAGAAATGTCTCAAAATCGAGATTTATCGACATAGTTTAATAATACACGTCTGTAAATCGATATTTATCGATATAGCATAACAGCACATATCACAAAATCGATATTTATCGATAAAGCATAACAACACATGTCACAAAATCGGTATATATATCGATTAAACAGCTTATTCAGCATATTCGCGTTTCGTTCTGCCTGTTACAGAAACAGTAAGCATGAGTGTTCGAGGGAGCTTTCACTGTAGCATATACCATCCATATATCATATTTACACGACATACACATCATCAACATGATAGGCGCGCCCCATTCAAACCGGTCGTCGTCTTGGCTTGGCTTTGGCTTGGCTGGGCGACCGGTTGGCTGGTCAAGTGCTTGGCCAAAAAGGCGCCCAGCAACTTTCACAAGCCATTGACTCCGTCCAACAGAGACAATTAACAAATTGCATTCATTGTGTTTTTTTGTTTGTTTTTTTTGCTGCTTGCAGTCGCAATCGAAGGCATCGACGCTGTCGTCGGGCGCACGCGCCGCCGCCCAAACGCTGAACGTGCCGCTGGAGCGTCTGGAGTCGCGCCAGGCGCATGTCCAGCGCCAGGAGCACGCCCATTCCAATGGCAACCAGGAGGAGCAGCAGCAGCAGCAACATCAACATCAACAGCAACAGCAACAGCAGCAGCAGCAGCAAGTGGAGCTGCATCATCAGCAGCAGCAGCAGCAGCTGGAGGATGCTGCCGAGGAGCAGCAGCTGGCGGATCAACAGCGTTATATGAAGCAGCAGAGCTATCTGCACTCGGCACGCAAATCGAATGCCGGCCAGCAGCCCAGCTCCCTGACCAATGGCCACCAGCAGCAGCAACAACAGCAACAACAGCAGCAACAGCAACAGCAGCAGCAACAGCAGACGGCGCATCATGACTTGGACGGCAACTATATGCTGCAGGATGAGCTAAATGGCAGCGGAACGCCGCCATCTGTGACCAAGTACTCGCTGCTGCAGTTCGCCATGCAGCATTTCCGCAATGAGTAAGTGCATCCAGTCTACATTTAACTCCAGCTCACACTCACCTTCATCCCTTTCTCTCTCCAGTCAACTGCGCGATGCGGATCGGCATCACGAGCGGCATCAGTCGTCGGCTGCCAATCGCTCCTATGCGGAGCTGGTCAAGTGGCAGGGCCATGCCATACGCTTGCCCCTGCTGCGTCTGCCCAATGATTTGGCCCCGTTGGCGCTCGAGTGTTTCGATTGCATACTGCGCTACTGCGGCGACATACCGCTCGATCCGGAGCTGACCGAGGTCAAGTGCGTCTACACCGTCTTAATGGTAGGTCAACCTAATCAACTGCCTGCAGCTGTTGCTAATCTTTTGTTCCTTGCCAGCATTGTCACAAGTATCTGGCGCTGCGTGATGAGGTCTACTGCCAGCTGATGAAGCAGACGACGGCGAATCGTTCGCCCTGTCCGGACAGCTCGCAGCGTGCGTGGCGTCTGCTCAGCATATTGGCCGCCTATTTTGGCTGCTCGGACGCACTGCGTCCGTATCTGATGGAGCATCTGACATCGGCCGCCTCGGATCGCCGTCGCTCGTGCCATGGCACCGCCGCCGTTTGCCTAACGAATCTCCGGAAAACGGCGCGCTGCGGCGGACGCAAGAATGTGCCCAGCGTTGAGGAGGTGACGGCCGTCTCGGCGGGTCGTTCGGCCCGTCGCCAGATCTATAGGCTGCCTGGCGGTGCGGAGCGTGTGGTCAACACGCGCTGCTCCACGGTGGTAGCCGATGTCATTGCCGAGCTGTGCGCCCTGCTCGGCGTCGAATCGGAGGCCGAGCAGCAGGAGTTCTCGCTTTACTGTATCGTGCAGGGCGACGCCTTCACCATGCCGCTGGCCGCCGACGAGTACATCCTGGACGTGACTACGGAGCTGCTCAAGTCCGGACAGCCATTCTATTTGATATTCTGCCGTTCCGTCTGGCACTTTGCGCTCAAGCGCGAACCGGCGCCAATGCCGCTGTACGTGGAGGTGCTCTTCAATCAGGTGGCGCCCGATTATCTGGAGGGTCTGCTCCTGGAGCTGCCCGGCAATGGTGTGCCCATGCCGGAAATGGTCCGGGATATGGCACGCATCGCTGCCCTGCTGCATCGGGCCGCCGATCTGAGCCATGTGCCGGCCATGAAGGAGATCAAATTTTTGCTGCCCAAGCCGGCGCTGGGCATACGCGAGATACGACCCGCCCAGTGGGTGGGCCTGGTGCAGTCGGCGTGGCCGCAGGTGGCCGGTCTGAGTCCGGGCCAGGTGAAGGCTCAATTCTTGAACGTGCTGGCCGCCTGGCCCCTGTTCGGCAGCAGTTTCTTTGCGGTGAAACGCATCTGGGCCGAGGAGGGGCCGCACGTGGAGGACAATCACAGTCCCATGTGGCGGGATCTGATATTGGCCTTGAATAGACGCGGAGTGCTATTCTTGGATCCAAACACACACGAAACACTGCAGCACTGGAGCTTCATGGAGGTCATCTCCACGCGCAAGGTAGGCGAACGAAACGCATATTGATTCATCTATCGATTGTCCCAGCTCATGCCCTCTCTCTCTCTCTCTCTCTCTCTCTCTGTCGTAGGTGCGCTCCGAGGATGGCGCCCTCTTCCTGGACATGAAGGTGGGCAATCTAATGCAGCAGCGCGTCATACGCGTCCAGACGGAGCAGGCGCACGAGATCTCGCGCCTGGTGCGCCAATATATCACCATGGCCCAGATCAGTCAGCGCGACAAGCGGGAGCTAAACTAGGTGCAACGAATCTTACGCATATGTTTATAATTATTATTATAACTATTATTATTATTATGATATTCCCCACACTTTATTTTTTTGTGTCGTTTTTTAAGTCCTTATACTTACACCTGTGCCTAAGCCCAAACGGAGGCGCAGGATCTTTCCTAATACCCAGCCTCCTTCTCCCACACTTTGTCGGCCATATTCCAATTATTTGCCCTCTCCATATAGATGCCTATACGCTGGCATTATATCTGAACAATTTGTGTCCTAATTTTAAGCAACAATGTGCAATCACAATCCGAGTATTTGGCCCCAGCCTTGTTCATTCCATTCCCGCTCTGAATTATATTCCCTCTGCTAATCTTAAGCGAATCTTAAATATATATAAACAATTTTTTTTTTTGACAATTTGTTAAACGAAATTCGTTGCAGTTGTTTGTGTGTTTAGTCTAAATTACCGTAAATAAATTTCACATATATAAAAATAAATTCCACATATACCATATTCATTTACCATATACGAAAGTCGCCTTACTTTGAGGCTTACAATAATTTATCCGGGCAAGTAAAACTATCCAAAACTGGTTAAAGGACATCGAAATATTCCTGTTAGTTCTCGAGATATCAGGTATTGTTGATTTCTTCGTAGTGGCCTGTGTTTCCTAGATGAACTCATCGATCTCGAATATTAATTGTGCTTTGACAATCTACAAGGATATTGTCCAGTTAAAGCTATTTTCCTTAGAGTAACATTCTAATAATAGCCATAACTCGGCTAAATTCTTAAGGAATCCGCCGAGTGGAGTGTCAAATAAATCGTTATGAACTGAACATTAAGCGTCCCAAAGGACATTTTAATCGTCCTGTTAGTTTTCGAGATAACAATGTGTTTGTGATTGGTCTGTTTAATCCTTAGATCTGTTTAACACTTGATAGTCAATCGATAGAGTCGTGAAATCCAGCGCAATTTTTTTTAGAAGATGAATTTTACTTTAAAGCTGTATCCTAAAGGATTCACTGCCAGCACAACTTAAGACTGACAATCAAGGACTTTGGGAATACGTAATGGTGCAAATTCCAAGATTCTTTTGCCTGAAGTCTTTTGACTTTGTGGCCGTGTCGTTGCGCATATTTTCAGCAAATCAAATCTGATTTCTGAGCAAAAAAATTGAATAAATAAAATAAATAATTTATTAGCTAGGCTCGGGGCAATAAATAAATATGCTGTATAAAAAAAAAAAACAATCTAAGGAAAAAGAAGACGGAAAAAACAAAAAACAAATGCCGGGCAATTTGTCAGGCCGTTGCTCAAATAATATTTGGTATGATTTGATCGTTGTCATCATCCTCATCATCGTAGTCATCGCCATCCTCCTCGTCGTCCTCCTCCTCATCTTCATCCTCGTCCTCGTCCTCATCCTCCTCGTCCTCATCCTCCTCGGCCCCCTCATTAGCCTTGACGGGCGCCGTCGTCGTCGTCGTCGACTCCGTCAGCTGCTCGTGTGCACTGAGCTGTGGCCCCGCTGGAGCTGGAGCTGGAGATGGCGAACCACTTGTTGCATTAGCCTCAGCTTGTGTTCGTGGTGAGGATGTTGTTGAGGGCGTGGCACGGCTCGTTGTTGTCGCCTCGTCAGCAGCTGCAATGCCGCTTAACGCTTCATTAGTCGCATTGTGGCTGGCAACGCGTATGGCAGCGGGCTCTGCGACCAAACCCAGTCCCAATGCCAGTCCCACGCCCATTGCTGTTGTCCTGGCCGTTGTTGTTGGTTCAGCTGTGGTCTCGCCTAAGCCCAGCGTTGGCAACTTTGTTGCCAGCTCCATTGGGCTGCTGCTGTCATCAGGCGGCGGCGGCGTAATGCGCGGTGGCGCCACAGAGGTAAGTAGAAACTCGTCCAATATCTCACAGTTCTTGCCCAGGTAGCCCTGGCGGCACTGGCAGCGATAGCTGCCATCCTCGCGGCTCAGCGAGACGCATTTGCCATCATTTGCACAGGTGTCCGGATGGTCGAGGCAGTAGCTCAGCTCTGAAACCGAGAAGCGAGAAGCGACAGGTGAGAACTGGAAGTGCAAATTGCTGGTCTGAAGTTTGCTCACTTTCATCGCAGAGCATGCCGCCCCAGCCGGGCCGGCAGTTGCACTCCCAGGGCGCCTCGCAGTCGCCGTTGACGCAGCCGGGATAGGGAAAGCACTTGTCGCACTGCGCGCCCGTCCAGCCCACCTTGCAGCTAGCCAAGAAAAGGATAGAGAGAGAGAGAGAGAGGGTTAGTAGTGCCTGCCAAAGGTCAAAGGTCTATGCGTCACTTACCGACACTCGCCAGGCTTGCGGCAATAGCCATGCTGCTTGCTGCAGTCGGAGGCGCAGAGCGCTGCAAGAGCCAATGGTCAGGGTGAAGGGTGAAGAACGGTCGGAGCACTTGCTACTCACCTGTCTGGCAGAGCAGGCCCGTATAGCCCGGCTGGCAGTTGCACTCGAGCGGCTTGTTGCAGGTGCCGTGCTGGCAGCCCGGCATGGTGGCGCATTCGCTGCAGCTGCGGCCCGCCCAGCCGATCCGGCAGCGGCACTCACCCGGTGCCTCGCAGTACCCCCGCGTGCTGTGGCATCCGCTGCGGCAGCTGGCTGTAAAGCGAGACGGAGAAAGAGATTATTAAACGGCTGACTTACTAATCTGTGGCCCACTTACGCTCCGTGCAGAAGAGGCCATCCCAGCCGGGCTTGCAGATGCACTCGAACGGCTTGTTGCACGTGCCGTGCTGGCAGCCCGGCAGCGGTATGCACTTGTCGCACTGCTCTCCCGTGTAGCCGATCCGGCAGCGGCACTCGCCGGGACGCTGGCAATAGCCTGCAGAGAATATTAGCTGCGGATTGCTATTGATAGTTATTTGAGGCTTGCGCTTACCATTCATGGGATCGCAGCCGCGCCGGCACAAGGGCACCTGGCAGAGATCGCCCTGCCAGCCGGGCAGGCATTTCACGTCGCCCTTCTCGTCGCAGGTGTAGTGCGAGTTCATCTTGTACTTTTGCGTCTTTTCGCAGGCCTGCGGCAAAATGGCTGCTCTTTAGTTGGCACTCAGCGGCTGGCTGCCTGCTCGCGGTCTCTACTTACGCGTTGCTTCCACAGCGGAATGTTCGAGTTGACGCTCGTCTGGCGGGCATCAAAGTTCCGTCTCAGCGCCTCGCCGCTGCCCATCGTGGTGGCCATCAGCAGCATCAGGGCGCCCAATCCGTGCGATGATGGCATTTCTATATATCTACCTGCAAACGGTATAAAGATCTGATTTTAATATCAATTTTCGGAGTTATTTTCGCATTTTATGGGAATTTATTTAAACTTTGTTAAGATCTGGTTTTAATATCAATTTTCGGAGTTACTTTCGAATTTTATTGTTAAGGTATATGTTAAGATATGATTTTAATATGAACTTTCGGAGTTACTTTCGCATTTTCTTGGAAAAATATATATACATTTTCGGAGTTTCCACTTAGAATTTTTTTATGCTTCGTAAAAGCTTTGAAATAATATTTGCAGTTTACACCGAATAAGCTCTGAATTTAGCACAAGTTTATATTGCGTTAACTCCGAGCTAGCTCCGAATTTATTTCGAGCTATCTTCTGACTTGCCTTTCAAACTCTATTTCTGTCGGTTATTTGGGTATAATCAATTAATACTCTGCCTTGATTCCATTTATTATTAATAGTTGTAGTTTACTCCGAATAAGCTCTGACTTAAGCACAAGTGAATATTGTTTTTTGTTTACTCCGAATTTATTAACTTTTGAAACTCTATTTCTATTCGAATATTTTGGTAAAAACAAATAATATACTGATTTTGATAACTTGGTTTAAGCATACAAGCAGTAATATTTCCACTGAAATGAATAGACAGATTTTGTTATAGTTGACATTACTCCGAATCGCCACGGACTAGCTCCATCCACCAGAGCTTTAAACTAATGTATACTTTTACTATAACTGTGATCAGTTTTCAGGTTCTTTATTTGGATTATGTAGATGGTTTTCGTTTCTTTTGATGGATTGTCAAAAGAAACCACTTGGGCAACGCAGTGCGATCGCACCAAAGACAATTAACATGTTTGAAGACAACTTTCTTCGTGGCAACGACAACAATTGTAAGAACTGTAAGGTCTACAGACACAGACCGTACCAAACCAACAGCCAGACAGGCAGACAGACCCGACTGACCGACTGACCGAGCGATTTCTTGATGAATCATCAACAACAAATCACAGACACTCGTTAAAACGTACGCACCAAAAACAAAACTGATTGAAATGTAAATCCGAAACTTTGCTCAGCTGTCTGGAGAGCTAAAAGAGTCCAATCCAAGACAATCCAATCCAATCCAATCGAAGTCAATCCAAAGAGCACTCACTGACGACGTCTGCCTCGGCTTGCGTTTACGCGGCGACTAATCAATTAGCCCTGACTTTGACTTTGAAGGCGACTCTGAAACTGAAACTGATTGCGCTCTCTCTCTCTCTCTCTCTCTCTCTCTCTCTTTCTATGCATATGGCTGTCTTTGTCTTTATGTATGTTGCCTTCTCTGTCTGTGCTGGCGCAGAGAAATTTGTAAAACCGGCAGCTGTTGCTGGCATTCGCCTACACTTGGCTCACAGCTCTTACCTCTTGCCGCTTGGCCCGTGGCACCTGCGCAATTGGGTCAAACGGTAAGTCCGAAATCAGCTGAGCGCGGCCCCGCCTCGCCCCGCCATGGAGCGAAACGAGTCGCGACAAGTCGGAAAATTTCTTGTTCTCGTTGGAAAAATGATGATGAAAAGCGGCGTTCAACGCATCTTTGGCTTTGTTTTCAAAATTATATTTGTTTCTTTATTGTGAATGCTCGATTTTCATTACATTAGTCGAATAATTATTTTAGTTTTTCTTTCTGGATTTTCTTTCGTATGTGCCTTAAAGTTTATTTTGAATTTTCTTTTCTTTTTTTTTTTTAGCCCAAAGAACTTTTATTTCATTTAATTTTTCTTTTTCTTTTTTGCTTTCTGATATATATCTTTCCACGGGTGAGTGTGTGCGTGTGCGTGTGTGTGTGTGTGTGTGTTTGTGTATGTTGGACACATAAATTGGGGTTCACGTTTTTAACTGAAACTCTGGGAACAGATCTGTGCTCTAAAATATGCGAGTGCAAAGCTGTTTCTTATCGTCGCTGCTAGAAAAGCTATCGCTATTCTATCGCCCAGGCGAAACGCCAGAAGAAACGCTTAGAGAACATTTCTAGCATGATCCGAAAGAAAATAATAGAAAATTTATCTTATTCTCCTAGCCAGGCGTAACGCTTTCTTATCGCCTGGAAGAGACACTCACTTTGATAAATATTTCTACTATGCCACAAATATAACTATGAACGTTTTTTTATTAAGATTTCCACTTTTAAAAAAGCTTGCTTTGTTCTTCGAGTGAAGAGTTGGGAAGAGTTAGGAAGAGTTGAGAAGAGTTGAGAAGAGCTGAGAAGAGCTGAGAAGAGTTAAGAAGAGCTGAGAAGAGTTTAGAATTATGAATGTCTTTTTATTAAGATTTCCACATTTAAAATATTCTTGAACTTGTAGAAAACTTCATCTATAAATATTTCAACAACAGCAAAAAAAAGCTTGCTTTGTTCTTCGAGTGAAGATTTTAGAAGAGTTAAGAAGAGTTGGAAAGAGTGGAGAAGAGTTGAGAAGAGTTAAGAACTGAGAAGAGTTGCGAAGAATTGAGAAAAGTTAAGAATGTCTTTTTAGTTAGAATTTCAGTTTTAAAATATTCTTGAACTTGTAGAAAACTTCATCTATAAACATTACAAAAGCAGGAAAGAAGAGCTTTGTTCTTCGAGTGAAGAATTGAGAAGAGTTGACATCAGTTGGAAGAAATGCATTCTGATCTTATGCGATGGGAACTGCATATGTGTGTGTGTGTGTGTGTGTGTGGGTGTGTGGGTATGGGAGTGTATGGGGACGTGCTTAGGGCTAGTTTTGCAAGTAAAATGAAGAGCTAATGGTTAAGCATGATATACACATGCATGCAAGGGCGAGTGTTTACGTAATATATGAACTTTTAATTGCATATGTCTAAGCCGACGGAAGCACATACACTACAAATTGTAGCTGCGCATGTATGTGTGTGTGTTGGTGTGTGTGTGTGGGTGCATCTCTTATGGCTATCTGGATGGGGTACATTCATTTCTATGCGGACAGGCTAAGTGCGCTGCCTTGATTCCAATCCCTAGTGGGAATACACACATATATATATATATATAAATAAATATATCTATGCTAGAGGGGTTTACGGGGTGACGGGCGGGTCGGAGCGCTAATATCAATATAATTATGGGTATATCGTTTTATTAGTTAGTAAGTTGTAGCTGCTTCTTCTTTTGCTTGGAGAAGACTTGTCGGTCAATTGTGTTGTGTCATTTCCAGCTTTGGACACTGGGTAAATGATCTATTTACAACGTTGGTACAGTAAGAACTCGCCGCAACGGACAACAATTGAAATTGCGTGCAAATAGCGAGCGATTATTGCACTCTCCTCTCCACAAATACCCTTGCAGAGGTTAGTCAAATTGTGTCCTCAAATGTGAAGGAGACTTCTTTGATGGAGCATAGAGCACATATATAAGTATGTCTAAATCGGACGAATCGGACTAGTATATATTCGATATTTATTATTCATATCATGCGCCCAACATTTGAGCAAACTTTTGCGAACATCGGACAACTATATTAAGGGATGCAATGGGAAAATTCTTTGGAAATACAGTTTCTTTTTCTTATATATATATATATTATAATATAGCTGCAATTGGAACAATCATGTCTATGCCATCTTCATATATCTCTACTTCTGTAAGGGTATTTCTACTTCGGAGCCCGAAGTAAACTGTTCCTTCGTATAGCTTCTTTATTTTGTTGGTACATGGATTATGCATGGAGTGAGTGTGTGTGAGAGAGATAGAGAGAGAGAGAGTGAGAGAGAGTGGGGCTTGTGGAGACAAAAAAAAAAAAACGCGTACACTTTATTTCAATTCTTAATTAACTTTCTTAAAGTTTAAACACTTATATGCGAGCTCTTGTCTCAGTGTGTGTGTGTGTGTGTTGGTGTGTGTGTGTGTGTGTGTGGGTGAGGGGTTGGGAAAGGGGCGCTTAGTGGGTTATAGACAGCTGCTAATTCGATATGATGCTAGGATATGATATGGATGAGTGAGCGCGTGGCAGCAACCGTTCAGGCTAGTCGGGTGCGGGGCTGGGGTCTGGGGTCTGGGGGTCTGGAGCTGGGGTCTGGGAATCGGGGAACTGTGTACTCGCTACATAGACTACGCGTTTACCCTACACATACTGATACCATACTCTATATATTGACGTCTCAATCGGATGGTTCACCACAAAAAAAAAAAATAGAAGCAATTTGGACGCAATGCCATTTGCTGGTTTAGACGAAGATGAACTGCGCGTGGTTGCATTTCTTGGGCGGACCGATGGTCAGACGCAGCCATTTGCCGCGACATGACGGCGCCGGCAGCGCGCTCCAGCGCGTCGTGCGCCCCGACAGCCCCTCGCCACGGCAATGATAGCTCAGCAGCAGCAGCTGTTGCTGCTCCTCCTCCTCCTCCCGCTGCTTCTGCTGGAGCGCCGGCGGCAAGATTGGAGCGGCGCTTCGTTTGGATGTTGCGGAGCGTGCACGATGCAACTGGCGCTGGTGCTTGTACTCGTGGCTTTCATTGCTGCCCACTTCCGTTTCCGGTTCCGGTTCCGGTTCAGCTTCAGGCTCGAGCATGTTCTGAGCATCGTCCTCCTCACTAGTTTCCTCCTCGTCGTCCTCGTTGTCATCCTCGTTGTTGCTGCTGCTGCTGCTGCTGCTGCTGCTGTCCAGCCGGTCCGCGTCGTCGCCATCGTCCATCGAATAGGGCTGAGCCATTGGTGTCTTGCGTGTTGTAGTCGTCGTGGTTGCAGCTGCTCCACGGCTGCCCTGCTTGCCAGCTGCGGTAGCTGTTGCTGCATCCTGGACGAGCGCCTCGAGGTCACAGCGCACCGTAATGCGATCGCCTGTGGTAAGAGGCAAAATTTGAAGGATTAGTCGGCGTTGCAATTGGATCTAATATAGACTGTACAGTGAAAACCCTCTCCTTTTATCTCTACAATATGACAGCCAGTGTCCGTTCAAGCGAGTTTTCACTGTACACATATGTGGAAGTACTCACCTTCCAGCATTAGATTGTAGGGCGGCAGCTTGTGGCAGGCCTTTGAAGCCTTGATTACCTCGAACTCTACGCAGTATCTGAAAGAAAAAGTGTGCAAGACAATTAATAAGCAAATGATAAAAGATAAAGCGGCTGATTGACTGATTGATTGACTGACTGATTGCCACAAACTTTGCGCAGTATCTGCCAGAAAAGTCAAGAGCTTATCCAAAAAGGGTAAATGTTTTGAAAGCGTGATTGTTTGACTGACTGACTGATTGAATGATTGACTGACTGACTTATTAACATACTGACTGATTGACTGATTACCTCGATCTTTACGCAGTACTGCAAGGAAAGAGCTAATAGTAAAACCTGTATCTTAAACATAAATAGATTTAAACGTTTGATTGACTGACTAGCTGCCTGATTGACTGGCTGATTGACTGATTACCCTGCAGACTAGGTAGTAACTGCAATGTATGCGAAAGGATCAACAATAAAACGTGTTACCTAAAGATAAGTTGATTTGCGGCGATTGATTGAGTGACTGATGCACTGATTGACCGACTGACTGACTGACTGATGATTGACGCATAGTCCAGTTTGTAAGAGCTGCAAGGCTCATCTTTACAGAGTAGTTACTTTTAGTATCTTAAATGACGAATTTGTTGGATATATGTGCATAGATGGGTATATTATATATTTAAATATAAATAGATATCAGTCAAATAATAATAGACAATAACATTTCATAGAGTTTATGGAGCCATGAAATTTGTTTTCACTGAATCTCTTCTCACTGAGTTGGGCTTAATTTTTTGTAAATTAAGTTCAGGGGGCTGCCTATTAACTGTGTTTTTGGCATTACAATGAATTTTGACATCAGCCATGAAAATGCATAAAGTTGGAAAATGGCAGGAAAGGCGAATAAAGGAAGGACAGAGAGCACAGAGCTGACAGATAGGCGAAGGGCAAAGGACGTAGGACGGCAGCACAGAATGATGATTATTGCGCATTTGAGCGCAGCCGAAAAGAAAGAAAAGCTCGTGAGGTGAGGTAAGGGGAGAGGGGTCGCTGCGTGGCGGGGCGGCGCGGGGCGGGGCATGGGGCATACAGTTCAAAGGCGCCGCTAGTCAACCGGAAATTCGAACTGTCTATTAAGCCTAACAATTTCCGTTTCCGTTACGCAAAAAACGCAGCGAATCCAAAAACAAATACGAGAGCGAAAGAGAGAGAGATAGACGACTGTAAAGTGGCTTTGGGTGTGTGTTTAAGTGTGTGTGTGTGTGTTTGTGTGTGTGCTTGACAGCTGTCAAGGTGTTGACAGCGGAAATTGCGTCGGAAATTCAAATGCGCCCTCAAACGTTGTTGCCCTCATCCAGTTTTAGTCGCATCGCATCGGTCTGGCGGATATTTGGCCACTTAGCCACAAGGGCTCAATTAGCAAATCGCCGAATTAGCCGGGGCCAGCATTCAATTGGCGCCACGGAAATCAAAATCACAAAATCTCAGAAAATCAAACCAAACGAAACAACACGTGAGTGTGTTCCATATGGGCATTGCCTGACTGAAAGATACCCTGCACCTAGCCACACTCAGTCGAACATCTTTCTATATTATAGCGCAATTCCACTGCTAACATTTCTTACATTTTTTGCGAATGTAATATATTTTGCGAATGTACTATATGTTGCGTGCACATTTTCCCAAAATAGCCTAATTCCACTGTCAACATTTCTGACATTTTTTGCAAATGTGTAATGTGAATGTTGCCTGTATGTTTTCTCATAAGAAACCACATTTTTCACATTTTCAAAATGTCAATTCGGAAACTTGCCACAGAATGTGAAGTTTGTAAATGTGACATTTATTGAGCATAGTGGAATCCGGTTATTGATGAAATATTTAGAGCTGAAATGTGATAAACAAAAGTATGCATATGGCAAAGCGCAGGGCTCTTCTGTTAGGCTTGATAAACTAACAACTGGAGTTTAGCAGAGAGAAAAGAAGTCGATACAAAGGATGACATAGAAGAATGTAGAGAATGTAGCTCTTGTAGTGGAAGGAGAATGTAGGGAATGTAGAGAATGTAGCTCTTGTAGTGGATGGAGAATGTTGGGAATGTAGCTCTTGTAGTAAAAGGAGAATGTGGGAAATGTAGAGAATGTAGCTCTTGTAGTAGAAGGAGAATGTAGGGAATGTAGAGAATGTAGCTCTTGTAGTAGAAGGAGAACGTAGGAAATGTAGAGAATGTAATTCTTGTAGTGGAAGGAGAATGCAGGGAATGTAGAGAATGTAGCTCTTGTAGTAAAAGGAAAATGTAGGAAATGTAGAGAATGTAGCTCTTGTAGTAGAATGTTGGGAATGTAGACTGAATCGTCTCTTGATGCTGATCAAGAATATATATATAGGTATGTATATATGTATGTCTATTGAGTCTCCTTCTGGGCGTCACAGATTTGGTGACAAACTCATAATACCCTCGACTCTGATAGAAATATAATGCGTGCCGTCGACGGCTTTGCCCGTGCTGAGCACTTAATTAACTTGGCGCACAGCCTGTCCGGGCCAGTCTCTGTCGGGCAGCTCGGTCATAAAGGTATATTGAAAAAAAAAAAAGCAAAAAAGGAAAAATAGGAAAAAATAACATTGATGTAAATAAACTTGGTGGCAGCCGCCGCACAAAGTAATAAAAATAAACAAGGCAATGCACAAAACTTGAGCAGCAAAACATAATTAAACTCAAGTGGAAGCAACTTCTGCAGCGAGTTGGCAAGGGGGTGGGGGGGGGGGGGGGGGGGGGCGACACCTTTAACGATGACACAGAACTTTGCCGAAATTGGCAAAATGTGACCGAAACTCAGCTCAGCTCACATTGCAACCCAATCTCTCGAATCTTTTTAATCTTTCCAATTGCCAAGTCTTTGTCCAAACTAATCCGATTCCAGGAGGATTAACATTTCGTACAAGCACAACATTTGAATGTGACAATGTTTTGCTTAATTTTGAACAAAATGTCACATGAGAAGTTGTCCATTTGAGACACAGGAAAATGTTGTTTAATTTGCAAAGGTCTTCAATGGATTCCTGGCATAAAAAGCTAGTCAAGAGCTTATCAATACTCTTAATACTCTTCAAGAGGGTATTATAAATTTGTCATCAAGTGTGTGAAAGCGACAACAAGTATATCATATCTTGTCTGTTTCACAGTGAAGCACAATCAATCAATTTATACCAAAGCATCTGGAATCGTCTGCGAAGCCATCTGCTTTCCAGATCTGGATGCCGTATTGCCAGCTGTGCACGATGACGGCGCTGTATACTCTACTCTCACACCCGAAGGGGTAGCTTGGAGGGGGGAACACATCTTCTAGACTTTGGCCGGGTCGCTTATCCAGTCTGACGCCCAGATACTTTGCCACTTGAGGTCATTCAGATAGACCACATCGTTAGGCCAGACTTTTAACATCTCATCCTTGCGTGGGATGTAGCAAGACCCTCCTGCCTCTCTCCAGCTGCAGCAAAGTCTGCTGTGAAGAGGGCCAAGAGAGGAGCAAGTGCCTCTTCCGCGGCCGGCTAGTGTGGAGAAGCGATTCTCTGCAACGGTCACCTTTCCAGCTTAGCCTTAATAATCCTATCAACATCGAACCAACTTTATCTTTATCAGAAGAATCAGCCTGCGTAGCCAGAATTAGTCAAGATATTCCCACCAAAGTCAACACCTTGCAGCTTTCTCCTCGCACATAGCCTTTATCATCATCAACATCGTCTGACTTTTGTCTGCTAGGGTATTCGGCTGGCCGGGAATAGCCGCTCTCTCTCTGTTGATAGCTGCAGTCGCTTCCTATTACTTAGCTTTGCCTGGCAACATGCCTTCGACAGCGTTCCGTTTTTGCTTTTTTTTTCTATTTGAAGTGTCATTTAAGTAGAATTTAGCTTAAAAGTGAAACCATGGCAAATATAAGTTTGTTGCCTTCTAGGCTCTATTTCATGCCACACCCTCCAGTCCCCTTTCCTGTTGTGCTGTCCTTAAATCGTGTCAATTGTGCTCATACGCCCCGTTGTCCCCTGCCCGCTGTCACATGCTCTATTTGCAGCGCTAATTTTAGCAGCCAGCCATCCATCGAGCCGAGCTGCCAACTATATATTGTCAATATCAATTATTTGGTACGGCCGGGCGACGACGGGTGCTGCGAGAGGGGCCAAAATCGCATGCATAATACATATATATATATGTATATGTCCTTTATTTGCGCGGGCAGCCAAGCGAAACTGTCAGTGCAAGGACGATGAACCGGCCGATGGTGGCGTTGCTGGCGAAGAGCTAGTTCCAGGCGTTGTCCCTTTGCATTGCCGTCGGTCGCAGGAAAGTATGCAACAAGATTTGCGCGCTGCTCAATCATCATTAAGGGGCGGTGCCGCAGACAAAGGGCGTGGCCCGGGGGCAAAGGAAACTAAACGAAAGTCCTGCAGAGAGAGACTCACTCGGCTTCTGGCCATTCAGGCGGCTCACTCAAGCGCCGCAAAGTGCTTCCTTTGGCCAGCCCCGGACGCCGCCGCCGGCCTGCAGCTGGCCCAAGCCCAAGCCCAAGCCCAAGCCCGTCCAATCCGGCTCGGACACGGTCCGGTGCCGAGTGTTGCCTGTCGCCTGTCGTCTGTCGCATGTTGCCTGTTGCTCCATCGACTAAATCCAAATTGAGATGTCGCCGCGTCGTTTTCGTTTCCGGTTTACTTTGCGGAAATGGGTAAGGGACCCCACCTCACCCACCGCTCCGCTCCACCAGCAGTGGGTAGCACCGCAAGCAAGCGGCCGCAAGCTGTGAGCCAACTTTGTCAAGCAATTATTTTTAGCAGCTGGAGAAGCGCCAGACCTCGCTTTCTTTTCGTTTTTGCTCTTCCTTCTAATGTGCTCCTGCACCCTTTGCAAATGCGACAACAGGGCATATTCACTCAGTGCACATGCTTGTGACGGGCATAAAGTGCCGGACAGTCTATAAATATGTCCCCCATTTCCCATCACTATCTCTTCATTCTATCCTACCCAACACTTTATATTATTACGATGCCACAATATGCTTTGCTTGATACTTTTCTG